GCTAGCATTGACATCATTCAGTAAAATGTTCAACTTATAAATATTAAGAAAAAGACACCTCATATCTTTGGGTGACTAACATGAAAACTAAACATTTCACCTCCAGAACTAATGTTGAGTGTTCAGATTCTAGACTGATACAAGGTAGAGGAATATAACTTATGTCCCCTCTCCCCATAACATCTTTATTAATTCATAGCTCTGGTTGTCTCCTTTCTGCAGTGGTCTCTTCAGCTACTCAGACTGTTGCTTAGCAACTTATCTGCTCAGCCTCTAGGCTTGCCTCTTTTTTTTTCTCTCTCTCTAGATGCTTTGCCTCCATCATGAGAGTTAGGTGGCAGCATATTTTTCTGCTACTTTAGTGCTTTCAGACATTAATCCTCACCTTTATAGGAAGTAATGAATACATCTTTTTTTTTCTAAGCTCTAGGGCAATTGTTCTTGGAAAGAGCTTGGCCTTTTCAAGGATATAATAATCATTCTAAGTGATTTTTTTTCAGGAAGATAGAACACACTGTTCAAAGAGACTTTGAAGTATCCTCAGCAGCTATACTAGTGTTTCTTGTTGCTACTTAGGGCAAAATATCTTGGTGTGAATTTAAAGTTGTTGATCCTCTGAACGAAGTTCAAACAAGCTGAACTTAGTCCAACCCATATGAGGATAGGTTGGTAGGGTTTCATCTTAATTCAGAATATTGAAATCGCATTGACCTCAATTGATCAAGTAAATGTTTGCATACATAGTCTTGGCCAAGTAAAGGAAGAGGAACTTTTTCTGGTTTAATTATGGAAATGAGATGATCCAGAGTTGCAAATAAGTAAAGATGTTAGAAAGTTCTCACTGAACAAATGTTCTTTAATTCTTAATCCTCAACTAATAACAAATTGCTGCTAAGTGATTGAAATGCAAAAGGCCAAAGAAATGCAAAAGTATATTGATAACTGACGGTTGCATAAGTTAACTTTTTTCTTTCTCTTAGCTTTGTCAGACCCAAGTAGTCGGCTTTCAACTTCTCCTCCTCCACCTGCCATTGCTGTTCCATTGCTAGAAATGGGATTTTCTCTCAGGCAGATTGCAAAAGCTATGGAAGCCACAGGTGATCTGTTTGTTGAATAATACCTATTGCATGTGAAAGCACAGTTTAATATGAAACACTTTTTAATAGAACGCTAAATGTTATAAGCTTTGAACTCACAAATTCCATGGCCAGATATGGAAGGAGTAAATGGATTTCTTCATCAATAGTGTTATAAAATTGTATGGTAAACTTTTCTTGGTTTTCAGGTGCAAGAGGAGAAGCAGATGCTCAGAATATCACAGTGCTGGCCATGTGGATGATAGAGCATCCTGGGAATGAAGAAGATGAAGAGCTCCAATCAGAAGGAACTGCAGATTCACATCATGGGACAATAGTTTCTGGAAGCAGTGGAAAATCTAGTGACCAGTGTTATTTACAATCACCAGGAGATATCCCGTCAGCTGATTCCACTGAACTGGAGGAAGGTTTTGGTGAAAGGTAAAATGTAGTTCTCTTTTGATTGCATAAATCTTGCTGCTGGTGCATCAGTAAATTGGTAATTGCCAGAAGAAGACTCAGAAATACCATTTCAAATTAATTTTGTCAGTCTGTATATGCAGAGAGGTGGAGTTGACTGTAAATTAGTTTTTGTATATTAATTTACAGTATTGTGTTTGCTGAGGGGAAAAAAAATTATGACTATATCCCCCTCTAAGACAATTAAATGAGGTGATATTAATCGTCTGACTACAATTAAAAGAGAAATTTCATTAGATTTGTTGGTTGTTTTTTTAAAAAAGTTTCTTACTAAGCTTTGTAATGTTACTGCATTCTTTACTTGCACTTTCTTTGTAAGTTATGGCCCACTTTTGAGGGAGGGATAGTGCTAATACATGCCCATCACCAGCACTTCAAATTGTGCTGATTATGCTAAATTAGGTGGTGATTTGATGAGGAAAAGAGACATCAAGCAGGAATTAAATTAAAGCCAACAACCTTAATCACTCCCTTGATTTCAGGCAGATTTAAACTCTGTTCTTTAGAAAAGAAAGAATAGTTTTTTTGTTTTATATTGATATTTATTTCAAAAGTGATTGTCATTATATAGGAACAATTGTGTTTGTGTCATAAATCCTGAGTCCATTCAGATTTTTATTAGTAGGAAATATTATTTATGTGAAAAAGTCATAATGTGTTCAGAGTTTCTCCTTTGCTTGCTTAATCCTGTTAAGATATTTGGCTGTGGGTGTCACAGTTACTGGCTTTAGAAATAATTAACATGTCACAAAGTTACTTTTTGTCAGAAATGGAGAGTGCTTGAGGAGATAATTTGATGTTGATATTTCTGTTGTCTCCCAGTTTATGCTATAATAGTGTACAGTATATGTGCAAATGAGCTTGATTGAAGCTCATCTCATCTGACGAAGTGGGTTTTGCCCATGAAATCTCATGGTACTATATACATATTTGTTAGCATCTAAGGCAGTGTTCCCCAACCTTTTGAGGTTGTCGGGCGCCAGGGGGCGTGGCCGTTTGCCCGCCGGGCGCCAGGGGGCGGGGACACTTGCGCACCCGGGGGCGGCCCCCCCTCCCCCAGCTGCG